GCATGTTGGGGGGGGGGGTTTGCTGATTGTTCGGATACACTGATACCGAAAGTCACAGTGATGAGGATGCCTTTTATTCACAACGTAATTTTGTGACAGTCTGACACTGACTTCCTGACTCCACTGACTTCAGTACAAAACAAAAAAGTAACCCTGAAAGCACAGTCCGCCACTGACTCACAAGCTGATAATTCAGACACTCACTAAACACGACACACTTCCTTGAGAGCTACAGAAGCAGTGATCTGCCCGCACAGAGGATTGTTGGGTCAGCTTTTCTGTGAAGAAGCTTCCACTCTGTTTGGCTGACCAAGTCACAAACAGTCTTACCTACATGTAAACGAAATCGAACCCAGTGCCATGATGAAGGGTTTTATTGTTCAGAGCCAACAACTGGACCTCTGACTTGAACTTGCGTGGGTTTGTTTTGGTTTCAAACTCAAGGTCTAACCGTCAGCACTTCTAAAGTGAGCACATGTCTTGCGTCCAGTATACTGGACTTTCGGCATCTTCGAGGTCACAGGTACCGTCCGGTATACCGGACTTTCGGTCGTTAAAGGTTAAAGTGAGACAAGACTCAGGCGGTTGACAACTACAGGAGAAGTAGACCCCCTGAGTTTTATCTTCATTAATTTTAATATTCCAGTGTGCTCACACCAGGTCTCCATTGAGCTGAGACTGCGCTGGAGTTTTCTAACAATAAAACCCTCCTTACGATCTGTCGCATACAGACAGGTGTCGTCCGCAAAGAGTGCCATGTGAACACCATGTGTTTGGGGGTCATCATTTATGTACAAATTGAAAAGGGTAGGGGAGAGGACAGCCTTGTGGCACCCCTGCTTGCATTTCCCTTGGGGTTGACATTTGGCCTTCAACCGAAACCCTGAATTTACGCTGAGAAAGAAAGGACCCAATAAGTTTGGTCAAACTGTTCAAGAATTCCAATTTTGATAACTTATACAGCAAGCCTGAATGCCATGTGGTATCAAAGGCTTTATCGATGTCCAAGAACACCGCACCCGTAGACATTTTATTCTTTAAATTAAGGGTCACATGGTCCACTAGCCTCATACATTGCAATGTCGTGCCGTGACATGCATGCAAACCAAACTGGCTTGCGTTGAGCAAGCTTCTTTCTTCAATATGTTTTTGTAGTAACTTCAAAATTACTTTTTTGAATAGTTTTCCTGTCGTGGACAGGAGGCTGATCTGACGTAGATTTTGCGGGAATTTTGGGTCTTTACCGGCTTTAGGTAAAGTTATTACTTTTGCTTCCTTCCAAGTATTTGGAAAATGAGAGAGCTGAATACAGTGCTTAAATAAATGAGTTACGTGAACCAATGGTCACCTTTGAAGTTGCCTCAGGCATTCATTTGGAATGCCATCAATTCCACAGGCCTTTCTCAATTTCAAGGAATTTATCAATTTTTGTATGTCACATGGTCTGATCCTATGAGGGGGCTTGTCATCTACGGTTTCGAGCAGAGCTTGAACTCTAGCCTCCACTCGCCGTTCATGGGTATCGTCGCACAGATTGTGTGGCGTGAACTGATTTTCCAAACAATCAGCAATTGCATTGGCTTTTTCAAATGGGTGAAAATTAAGGCCTGCAGCACCATGAATAGCAGTTGGTGCCCTTGGTCCATCCCTCTCTAAGAGGGATTTCGCAGTTGGCCATATACCCTGAGGTGTGTCTTCAGCATTACCTATTTTTGTTTCCCACC